GGCTGTGTATTTTTATGCCTGCAGATATTGGCATGTTTCACATTTAAGATTATGACACATCAACTTATTTTGAAATTTTGAAAAACCTTCCACTGCGCATGTTTCAAGTGCTTCATGACTATCACTGATAATTGAGCAATTAACTTGAAATTACCAAATGTGCTGTGATGGCACAATATGTAGTAAGCAACATGAAAGAATAAGTAACAGAAAAACTTGGTATAGTGAGGGGAAAAAAGCAATAAAGAGTAAAATCATCCATAATAATAATAATACTAAGTAAGTTTTAATAGTCCCAGGTCTCAGTGGCTTAATTATGCCAATAAAATGGTTTAATGTAACAAATCCTGAGTATTACTAAATTTTTAGAGCAGTTTGTTCTGGTGCTGCAGAAAGAATCTTCTTCTATCTGGTCTTGTGTAATACTCAGGGATTAGTCCAAATAGTAAGTAGGGAGTTTCATTTGACAACCAGCACAAAACAATTAGGTAAAAAAAAAAAAATCTTGACAGGCAGAATCTTAAGAAATACAGGCTTGCAAAAAATAGTGGTAAGGTCTTTCTTTTGGTGTAATACAGACAGAACAAAACTCTAGAGCTGAAAATGACCTCCAGAAGGCATCAAGTGTGCAAATATATTCACAAACCAAAAATTAAAACACGTTTTGACATAAGACAGAGAGATAAAACTCAGCTGGAAAAACCAGAATGTGCTTTCACTGCTTATCTCATCAAGAGGTCTCTAGGCCTTTCTGGGTAAAACTATAAAGAGTAGCTTTGGGGGGCTTAAATATAGGCAGTAAAACAAATTCTATAAACCTATATCCCACCTCCTTTCACTGGCAGGCCATTTTAAAGGTTTGAGAGAGAAACCAACAATTTAGAAAGTAAGAGATGGAAAAGAGATTCAAAACTACAGCAAATAAAGGACACTATTAAAAACATTTTTCCCCTGAAAATCCCATCAATATTACTACTTCAAAACACCACTAGGAGATTAAAATGGGCTAGGCTGTCCTTTCACATATAAATTAAAAACAGAATGTAGAGAGAGAATAAAGAACAAGTATCTAAGAGCACTAGTATATAAAACTTAAAAGCTTAAATGTAATGGATATACACATTCAGATTAGCAAACTCCTTTCAATTAAAGTAGATTTCTGGCCACAGTTCACAAATGTATAGTAACTGTGTGTATTAATGTAGGTACTTCAAATGTCAGTATATCTCTAATTAACATGAGCACACAACTGTAAAACTGAGAAGGCACAATTTTAAATTCCTTACATTCCCAGCATTAATGCTTTCTTTGGGCAGCTCCCGTTGTCATGGAAAATGGCATTCAAGACCTATTTGTGGATTTTCACAGCTCATCTTTTTTATTTACCTGCTCTATGTCAAGATTAGCCTGGAATAATATTTTTTAAAGATAATGCATTTAGACCTACTTTAAAAAAAAATCACTGATGCTCTTACTAAAAGAGCTTTGATCTGGGCTATGCTCAGTTTGAAATAGATTTCTCTCCATTATAAATCACCACAAAGACATGGATTCATGATTCTTTTTGTTTCCTAAAACAACTCTGAGATTCAAAAACTTTCAGTGCTAGCATGACATGTGGCAATTTAGAAACAGAAGAATGGGAAAATGTCAGGGAGGACCAAATCTCCAGGAATATGAAGAAATGAAATGGTAGTAAACTCTCTGCTATCTCTTATTCCACCTTAAACTTTTCAAAAAAATTTGTACAGCAATCAAGCAAACTTGAGATAGTGATAAAAACAACAGAGAGAGAACTGAAATTTGCTCTGAGAGAGGACATCGTGATGTTATGGAAAAAGCACTGAATTTACAAAACAAATCAGGTTTGAGGCCTGCTGCTCTGCAAGCATAATTCCTATTCAATTCACTGGGTTTTTATAAAATTTAGCAATGTAAATGTTAGTCTAACAACATAAGGTACTATTATTACGATTACTTCCAGCCTGGGACTTTTTTGTGCCAGACAATAAAATACCAGTTTTTGGAGGTTCCTATTAGAGACCTCAAACTGAAACAGAATTTTGGTAAAAAGGGATTCATTTTCAAATTATTGAAGTGGCATGGCTAACCTAGAAAAGCAAGGTATCTATTGAATTACCTTTTGTTTTTGTGGTTGTATTGTTTTGTTTTGTTTTGTTTTATAAATTATTCACTACTCTGGTAAAACTGAGAGTCAGAATTACATAATTATTTTTTCTTTAAAGGCAAAATTTTAATCTTGCCTATTAACACTCAAAACAGTCTTCTTATACAATGCCACTTTAGGAAGAGAGGTGGTTTTTATGTTTTAAGAAGGAAAAATAATGCTTCACTAAAACAAGATATAGTTTCTAAAGAGAAAGTCACTTCCTTCACAGTTCCTCTTTTGACCTGGGTAGATGTGAGTAGCTAGATTCCAATCGGTTCTCACACACTCTTGGTGTGGCCCATTCATTATGGATGTGCAAAACAATATCCCACTTTCCTTATCTCACAGACTGGCTTCTGCATATCTTACTAAGATGTTTCCCTTAAGCCATTAGGTATAACTTTCTGTCTTAGACCATATAGCAAATAAGCAGTTGCAGGACATGGACTTTAAGGTTCATTATAAAAGCCATTGTCACTGACCCCATTGGCTTGTTCTTAGGTTTGACAAGATTAGTACTTCTATTGCTTTATCTGCCTCATCATTCAGTGTAAGTGGTGAACAATTTTCACAATAAATGAAAGAAATAGAAACTCAACATTCTGGGTGCCATGTCAGTTTCATCTCACTTAATTTAGTCATAGCATCCCATACTATCTCTTTATCACAAACGTCATGCAGTCAGGAGATAGTCTGAACAAAGCTTGAGATTACTGACTCAAAGAAGACCAAGGTCCATGTCTTAAACTGGAATATGCTCGTCTAGAAAATAATTTATTTAGTCTTATTGGACTAACATGACTTCAGTCTCAGTAATCAGACAAAATCTGACTTAGTAGTATTTTTGAGTTGCTTCAGGTAAACTTCATAAATAACTATATGTAACTATATTGACAGTGGCTCTTCTAATCTTAGCATTGTTCTTTGTTAGAACACAAGGAAATTTTTCAGATAATTAAATCACCTTCATTCAAAGCTAGCCTAAGTGTGTCTCACTGAAGAATTTAGGAAACAATGCTTTTGAATGATAAGAAATTATGTTTTAATGCCATGTGGTGGAATGATGGCGATTATATTAGTCACTTTAAAGCTTTTAATCATCCTAAAAAATAACTTGCTAAAGAGAATGAATGATAAGAAGGAAAAGAGAAAGGATGTTTTGGATTTTGGTTTTTGTTTTTTTCTAAAAAAAAAAAAAAAGACAAAGCAACTAAGATAAGATTTGCACAGCTCAAAATTCCTTTGACTAGCTGGTGCTGGTGGCTCACGCCTGTAATCCTCAGGAGGCTGAGATCTGAGGATCATGGTTCAAAGCCAGTCCAGGCAGGAAGACTCTAATAAACCACCAGAGAACTGGAAGTGGTGCTGTGGCTCAAGCGGTAGAGCATTAGCCTTCAGCTGAAGAGCTGGGGGACAGCTCTGAGGCCCAGAGTTCAAGCCCCACGACCAACCAAAAAATAAAAAAATCCTTTGACTTAGATTTCTAACAGGATAAGCTGAGCTCCTTAGAATTCAGTTTTCACCAAGAGCTCTTCAAAGACAGTTTTTTTCCTCTCTTCTTTGCCTCCTAATCCTTACCATTATGTCTTATACAAATTAAAAGCTTATATTCAATCTAAATGAATCATACAGTTTATAAAATTGTGAGTTTGAAGCAAGAATGAAGTCTTCAGATAATAAAATATAAATTGAGAGTTTCATTTAAAGTAACTATTCATTCTTGAAGTATTAAAAATATACAAAATGTACAAAACTATATATTAAACATGCACAACTATTTTCTAAAAAATGGGTTCAAAATGGTTGTCACAATGAATGTTACCAACTAAAAGAACGGTAAAGCCAATGTCAAATAAATTTTCACTGCTTTTCCGCTTAAATACTGAATCATGTGAACTCTAGCTTACCAAATCAGTTTTTTTAGAATACTTTCCTAGAAGTACATTTTCTAAGGCTTCATTATAGCAGTACACTAATAACAAGAAAATTTCCTATGTTTTTACTGCTTTTACTGTTATCAAACAGCCCTATAAGTACCAATGATCTATAAAAACTACATATGTATAAATACATTTTAAGTTGGAGTTTCTTAAATGTGGGTTGCTTATACATGGAGACTTTTTAATGCCTGCCATATACTCTATGCTACTTCTATATAATAAATATATACATTAATTAATGTAAAGTACTTTTAATAGATCTTTCTTCCAGTTTTATTCCATTTTTTCCTTAAAATTTACTTTGTTTCCAGAGAAAGAGCACTTTGTTCTCCAAAATATCATTTAAAGATATTTCAGGGATGGCAAAAAGAGAGCAGGAATACCACCATTTTGATATTCATTACACATTCACCAAATGAGTCTTTGGATCCTTAGTACATAATCTCCTCATGCACTGACAGCTCTTTGAATTCTGTATCATCTCACATCTTTTCTCTGAGCACAGGCACATAGCACTTTTCAAGTCCAGGTAACCAGAAGATGTAAGAAGTTATCAGGGTAAATTATTCATGTGTATATAGAGTAGAATCTTTAAGGTAACCCATTTCTACAATTGATACCTACTCTCAAAAACATAAGAAATTTATTCTCTAGGTTTATTGTAATGGAGCTTGCATTGTGTTCTTTCACTGGAAATCACAGCAAATAGGCTTTTTCATCAGTTGGCATTTTTCTATATTCCTCCCCCAAAAAATGCTGATTAAAAGCTAACAATACTTATAAAACAGTTACCAAAAGGCAAAATGTCTAATGAAAATGCATGCACAAAACAATTTATTTATAAGCTGCTACACTACATAATGAGAAAATAGCAAATAAACAATACTTACAATTACACACAAAAATCAGCCCCAGCACCCAGAAATCACTGATAAACTGCCTTTGAATTCATGAAAGTGACCTGAAAATTCAGATACAAAATAAAATGAGAAAGGTTAAGTCAATTGCATTTATGTTTTATTAAGAAAATATACATTCTTAATGGAATTCTATGCCTACATCAGAAAGAATGACATTGCCCCATTTGTTAGGAAATGGAAAAACTTGGAAAAAATTATATTAAGTGAAGTAAGCCAGGCCCAAAGAAACGTAGGTCCCATGGTTTCCCTTATTTGTAATATCTAGTATATGTATGAGTCAAGCGGAAAAGGTCAGATAATGTGATGTCAGGAAAATGAACCCTTAGATGTGTATTTTAATGTTTTTTTTCTTTCATGCATGTGTTTCTAACACATTTATAAGATTATCTCTTTGTTGCTTTGTATGTCCCTCCTCCACAGTATAACCCCTGCTTTCACTATATTTGATGTCAGTATAACTTGTGGAGGAGATGGGGAAAAACCAGTTGTTTAAGGATACAGGTGGACCTGTTGCAACAATGAGAAGTACAAGTTGTCATGTCCAAAACGAGCTTTACAACATTGGTGCGGGGGGGGGGGGGGGGGGGGGGGAAGGCTGGGAAGAAGGGGGGGAGAAGGATTGGGATTAGGGGGGGAGGGGGGAGGCTGGGAAGGGATGTGAAGGATAAACAAAGGAGGAGGCTGCAATGCTTGGTAAGAAATGTACGCATTATCCTGCCCATGTAACTGTAACTCCTCTGTACAGTATGTTCACAAATAAAATTAAATTAAAAAAAAAAAAAAGAAAATATACATTCTTTTGTATTTATCTGATTTGGGGAGAGGAAGGGGAAGCACAGAAATGGTGGGACAAAGGGCAAACTAAATCAGAAGTGATACTCACTAAACACTATGTTGAAAATGAACTATACAACTTGTGGGGGGAAAGGTAGGGAGGGAAAAATAAAACTGGGAGGTGACACTATTCAAAAAGAAATGTACTCAATACCTGACTTATGTAACTGTAACCCCTCTGTACATCACCTTTACAATAAATAAACAATAATAAAAATATACATTCTGGCTACAAAATATACTATTTTTAATCAACTCATGGTTCATCCGTTTTAGCAAATATTGTTAAGACTATGATGCCAAATAAAACTACTATCTTATTATTCTACATCTAAGAATCTAACATTTCCATCTATTTTGGCTTTTTTTAATAAAGTAAGGCTTAAAAATATAGGCAAAAACAAAAGGGAGACTTTTTGATAAAGGGAGTAAGGCAAATTACATTTGTGAAAATTGTTTAACTTCTTGCTGCATGTTAAAATAAAATAGCTCCATAAATGTGCTCAACAAGAATTCCTTACACGTAGAATTCTTGAGAAATGAGGCAGTTGTTGTCCTAAAGTGTGGTACCCATTATATGCTAAGCCTGTGTACAATGTATCCTGTATAAGCCTCAATTCAATCCAAAATTCTTTCACTTACACATACTTTGGTTTGGGCTAAAGAGGTGACAGATGCAACTCAAACACACAGAGCAAGCCTTATAAATATGTAACTTACACAATGAACCACTTTGTATCTCTAAGCATCTATGGTTTCCTCTCCCCAGAACCACTACCATCAGAAGGCAGTTTGGTATTTTATTTTTATTGTTTGGTCTAAATACAGAACACTTAGTTCCATAAAAACAAAGAAACTTTTGTTGCAGAGACTGTATTCTTTCAAGAATGCAAAGATGGCTATGCATAGTGTTCAAATGAAAGAATGAAGATTGAGTTTCCAATTTAGGTCAAAGTTGCCTGGTGGCCTGGTTTGATTCATTCTGCATTTTTAAAACACAGCTAGTCAACTACTACATTCTGAAAAATTGCTCTTGATCAATATCATTAGTAGAAACTACTATGCTCAACTTTTCCATTAGAGAAAATAATAGCCTTAATTGATTAGATATTTGCATTTGAAATCAATCTAGGATGGATGGTAAATATCTATTTCAGCCGTTTTCCAGGCCCTAAAATATGTTTTTGCCTATTTCTACTTTCTAATTTTGATTGATAGATAATTAAGTCCCAACTAGCTTTAAGAATCCTGGCTATTATACCCATTAGGCTTCTTTACTTTCCTTCTTTTTGTGGGGAATGATCCTCAGACCTTCCTCACACCAGGTTCACCAGTTTTCAACTTCTACAAGGCCCACTTCCACAGATGCAAGAAGTGTAGAACAGTTTGACTAGGGGAAGACAGTGCAATAATTTTTGTTATTATGTCCTTTTTACCCATGGCTTTCTAGTGTTTCTAGGATCCAAGATGATAATTTTATCTGGGATGTCACACAACTCTACCTGCACACACTATGTGAACTATCCAAATGCTGCAGGATACTAGTTCTGAAAAGAAAGGTCTTTTCACATTATATCCTCTCCTAAATTATAACTTATTTGTGAAGATGCTCATGAAATAAAACTGTAAAAAAAAATGCTGTATATCTAAAAGAATTTTAGGACGTATGCACGTTTTCCCCCCAGTCATGGGGCCTGAACTCTGGTCCTAGGCGCTGTCCCTCAGCCCTTCAGCTCAAGGCTAGCATTTTACCACTAGAGCCGCAGCGCCACTTCCGGCTTTTTCTGCTTATGTGATGCTGAGGAATCCAATTCAGGGCCAGGGCCTCAGCACTCTACCACTGAGCCAACTTCCCAGCTCCCTATGCACTTTTTCAAAAAAAAAAAGAAAAAATCGGACCTCATTTTGCTGATAAATATTTTTTAAACAATTAATTGGAATTGTGCAAGATACATGTACATCCCATTCTTTCACTGTCCTGTAAACTATAAGGGAGGAGGAAAAAGGAAACTGTAACCAGAAAATATTCAGGCTAACCTAGATCTAATTCTTTCTAATTCAACCCTTAAGTTTTAATTCAATTCTTAATGTGTTAAGAAGTCTAACATTGGAAATACTTCAAATCTTGAAATAAGTTAGATTCCAGAAATTTAAGGCAAATAATATTCTAATATATACTAACACAAAGTCAATAAATCTTACTTGTCAAGATCCTGCCACATAAGGTAAAAACAACTTTGAATCTCACTATTAATGGATTTGAACTGTTGGTAAAGTCAAGAGCAAACAACTAAAAGAAAATACATTCTGGGGCTATAGAGTTCATCACTCAAAAGAAAAAAACGAGTACATATTTCCTCTTTCAGAGATGTCAAGAATAAAGAAGAAACATGAAGAATTAATATATCCACATCTCATACATTTAAATCGATAATCCAACCTGAGCAACAGATTTTTACATCTAACTGGTGGGAATGTGCTCCATGCCTTAATTGAAAAATATTCTATGCATCCTTAATTTACTAAACAAAAAAAAAATACTTCTAAACTTCAATATAAAAATACACAGGCAAATGGAAAGAGGAAAGGTGGGCAAATACATTCACAAAAGTGAATGTACAAAAGTGAAAATGGAACCAGGTAACTTCAAAGGATAGATGGCGTTGAATAAACGCGGGTGGGAAAATAACAGAAGAGGTGGCATTGATTAAGATTCATTTACACGTAAACTGACATGTTAAATTGAAAGCCCTTTGTGCTACTACTTCTAAATGGCAATTCCCGTATGCAACTTCTTAAAGATAATTTTTAAAAATCAAAAAATAACTAAATGAATAGACACATAGAAAAAAAATTAAAGAAAGATGTTCAGTGAAGACAAACAATGATAACATAAAATATTAATCTCCTGGCTAATTAATAAAATTAAGTAAAACATTTTTCTTCAGTATCAGCAAAATATTTTTAATTTGGTTTTTAAAATGGTATTGGTGAGCCTGGTGCCGGTGGCTCACACCTGGAATCCTAGCTACTCAGGTGGCTGAGATCTGAGGATCATGGTTCAAAACCAGCCCAGGCAGGAAAGTCTGTGAGACTCTAATCTACAATAAACCACTCAGAAAACTGGAAGTAGTGCTGTGGCTCAAGTGGTAGAGCACTTAGCCTTGAGCTGAAGAGCTCAGGGACAGCACCCAAGCCCAGAGTTCAAACCTCATGACCAATCAAAAAAAAAAAAAAAATGGTATTGGTGATAAAGGAGGAAGATCAGAATTTCTCTAGATCATTGGATGGATTTTAAATTGAGGCTAATTTTCTTAACAATTACTTATCAGCAAATTTTCTTAACAGCAACTATTAACAACTTTTAGTGTTTATATGCTTTGAATCTACAGTGCTACTTCCAAAATGTATCCTAAGAAACCAATCACAAAAGTAAAACATGTCACATGTAATTTTTGTGTTTATTACAGTATTTTTTATAATAGTCAAAAACTTCAAAATAATTTACTGATTGAATAAGTAAGTTTTGATACATACTATACTGCTCTGTAACAATTTAAACAGAATAGAAACTATATTTATTGAAATAATAAGATGGTCACAATTCAATTTTGAATAAAAATTTAGCACGTACACTAAGAAGCAACTTAGAGAAAATCATCTATATGTGAAATCAATCATGTATATGCTTATGTAAATATGCAAGTTTTACAAAGTAAAGCTTAATTTCACAAAAAAAATGGTAAAATTAGACAGTGTGCCCAGTTGTTTTTTTCTTTTCTTAGCCTTATTGGTAATTTTAGACATAATATATCTGGATGAATCATAAAACAATGAAGCTATGTTTAAAGTCCAATATATCACTTACACATTCAATAGAAATCATTGTTATCAGCCTGGGAACAAAAACCAAACGTGAATATTCGTTTTTTTTAATAGTTTTTTGAAAAAATCCTCAGACTTACAGGGTAACTTCAAACCAGTATCTTGATATCAAATGAAAAAATCATTTTCACAAAAGTGTGTGTCTCACTCTGCCAAAAATAGCAATAGATCAAAGGTAAACAGCAAATAAAAACATTCCTCCCTCATATAATTAGACTTTTAAAAGCTTTCAAGCTAATATTTTTAATCCTCATAAAGCTTTCTCTAGGCCACACCCATTTCTTTTCTTAACCCCTTCACTCACCCTTCCTCCCCCCTCCGA